GTTGTTGTTGGTGGACCTGTGTATGGTGTTGGTGTAGAAGTTGTTGTCTGTGGACCTGTATATGGTGTTGTTGTAGGTACTGTTGGTATTGTTCCATTATATTGAACGCATTGTGGTGTATATGTTATATCATCTATTGCCATAATTCCATCACGATCAGCACCTGTTCTTACACCAATAATAATCTATTTGAATAAATAAAAATAATCATCAAATGAGAAATTGTTTTTATGTATTTTTTTTACTTCAGTAGGTTGAGTTAAAACAGCACTTAGTGGAGCATCAATACGTTGCCATGAACATTGTGTTGCATTTGTTTGACATGATTGATAACTTGAAAATGACAAAGGTCTGATTTCATCTCCAATAGCATATCGATAACCAACAACTAATTGTCCATTATAAGAAGATTTAAAATAAATCCAAAAACGCATTGTACATCCTGGTTGTGCTGCTACGCCGAGATAATTTGATACGGTTGCTAATGTATCTCTTTGTATTGTTGAATTCAAACGTAATTGTAAATAATGACCCTAACAAAAAAAATTTACATTAAAATATATTCATTTAAAATAAAAGAATTTTATTTGGTTTTGTAAACGTACAAGTTGACTACGTGTTGTATGATCATATGGTGGTCGCTGATCATATGGTATTGCATTAGCACGATATCTTTCCCAATTCAATGGAGTACCGGCTGATGGTTCCCATGAACAAAGATCTGCTTCAAAATTACATCTAAAGATAATAAAGATTAGTTTTTGAAAATATTCTTTTGTTTCTTCTTACCTTTGATAATCATAACATATATTATCATCTTCATCACTACCATCACAACAATCTAATTCATAATCACATTTATTTGCTTGTGGTATACAATGTTTGCTTCGACACATAAATTGATTAGGACCTCCAATAGCTTGTGCACATGTTGGTAATGGAGGATCTTCATAACATTGTTCAAAACGAAACTCGTCTAAGGCTATATCACCTGTAAATGATGTGCCACGTATACCTTCAACAAGAATATTAAATTCTGATGCACATGTTGGTAATTGTGCTATTCCTTGTAACCATTTATCACCTTGATTTCCTTGTAATGACCATATCAATGTATCAATACCACCAGAACGTACATAAATATTTAATGTATTAATTGTGTCACCAAACATATGATACCTATAATAATAAAAGATTTTCTTGAAAAATAAAATGTAATTTTAATTTTACCAGAATGTAAACTTGCACATCTTTGAAGATTTACGATAGAGTGGACTAATAAAAAGAGCACGATCACCAAAGTTACCATCACTTGTTTCCAAATATATATATGTTCCATTAATACTATGTGTTGTATAATCTTAAGGTGAAAAAAAATATATTAATAAGATTTGTTTTAATTCAAAAATAAAACAAGATTTACCAGTGCTTGGACCTGTGTTCATTGATGCTGTTCTACCACTACCAAAACTCCATTTAAGTTTTTGTTTTCGATCATTTGTCCAAAGACATGATGTGTTTTGTTCAAAATTACATGTTGATGGACATGATAATTCATCTGTTTGATCTGTACAATCCACATTAAAATTACAAAATTGATCTTTTGGTAAACATTGACGAGTATTTGTTAAACAATGAGAATGTGTTGAATTACAATATGGACTTTGTGTTGTAGAATATACAATAGGTGGTAATGTAGCTGTGATTTGTACTTGACAACCTGGTGTAAAACTTGTATCATCAACACCAATGTCACCTATGAATAATAAAATTTAAAATATACAAATGAAAAACAAAAAAAAATGAAAAATACCTTCATAACTAGCACCACGTACACCTTCGATAAGTACTTGAAATGGTTGTTGAAGTATAAGAACAACTTTAGCACGAAGCCATTCGTCACCTTTTTGACGATTTTGATTCCAAACTAATGTTAATGGACCACCAACATAAGTACGTGTATATACATTTAATGATGCAACATCATAACCATACATATGATACCAAAATCGAAATTGACATTCTCCTGATATTGTTGGAGCAAATACTGGACTAATAACACGTGCTGTATCATTTGGTTTACGTGGTGCACTTGTTTCAAGAAATAGAAAATGTCCTTTTGATGTTCCTATATTCATTGAAATAAAAATTATAATTAAATTTTTCTTTGTTTTTTTTATAAAATTATTTCTTACCTAATGTATGATCACGATCAGGGCCATAAAGTTGCCACCAATCATCATAGTAATCAAAATTATTAACTTGTTCACCACGCATACGTTGCCATTCAAAGTCGGCATCAGGATCATGTGACCATGAGCATTTTGGTTCTGCATTATTTTCGAAACTACACATTTGGACATATTGTGCACAATTATTTTCATCCGTATTATCAGCACAATCATCACTAAAATCACATACCTAAAAATTAAAAGAAATTTTTTTTTTAATTGATATTAAACCACAAAATTTATATTACATTATCTTGATGAATACAATTTCCATTTGAACAATTAAATGGATCAGTAAAACCTTCACAATGACCAACTGTTTGTGCATTACATTCAAGAAATTTAAAATCATCAATAGATATATCAGATGATATAGTTGAACCAACATGTGTTGAAATAAATATAAGTCGAAAACCAGAACGTCTTCGTCCTATACTAACAGTTATCGGTGTCCATGTTCGACCAATTGTTGTTCGTGGATCAGTCCAAATTTTTGTTGTATATTTCGAATCATCTTCAAGATAAAGTGCTATTGTACCGTCTGTATCACGATTACGATATAAACCAAACTGAACACGACATGATGCTGCAGCTTCTGCAATACGTTCAGAAACTAATCGACTACTACCAGCAAATGATCCTGAACCTCCAGCAACTGTCATAACAAAACCTTTCGTTGTATCTAAAAACAAATATATTAAAATGAAACATAAATAATATTCGAAATTAAACAAATTTACTTGTTGTCATATCACCAGGCATGTATAGAATCGATGATGCATTACGTCTTGCCCAAACATAATATCCAACACTATCATCTTCCCAACCACAAGTTGATGTTTCAAAATCACATTCACCACAGTTCACTTCATCCTCACCTTGTGAACAATCAGGTACAAAATTACAACGCTATATAAATATCAAAAATTTGCATTTATTTTTTCTTGTTTTCATAAATAAAGTCTTTTTTTTTTACTTACCTTTCCTTTTCCTTTACAAGTACCGTCATTACATGTATATGTACATGGTACAGGTGTTGTTGATGTTCCATTTGGTCTAGGTGTTGTACCATAAGGTAAATATGCATTTGAATTATTACATTCTGACGAAAATGATATATCGTCTAAACCAATAAAACCACCACCATCTGAACTTTTAACTTCAATTAATAATTCAAATAATGATCCTGTTGGTAATAATAATTCTTGTCGTTCCCAATGATCACCAATAAGTCGTGATGTTGACCATACATTTGTTGTTAATCCTGCTGTTTGATTTCGAACCATAAATGTTAATTGACCAGGATTTGTTGCACTATTCATATAATAGTAAAATCGTACTTTGCAACCAGTCGATGGAACAAATCTCGATGATCTTAAATGAGCTATACTATTTGGTGGTTGACCAAGTGTATTAACATAAATAAAAGAACCAGCTAAATTATTTAATGTATGATCTCTTTCAGGTGCATAATCATGAACTAATTGATCAGCACGTGCACGTTCAAATAGAAGTGGTTGAGAAGTTACACTCAAAAATTTACAGAAATTTGTTTCGAAATCACAACTAAAATAAATATAGACAACAAAAAAAAAAGAATTATATTTTCTTTTTTTTTTAATATATATAATATTTTACCCTGGTATAACATTAGGTCTTGCACAAGTTGAATTATCTTCATCACTCATATCACCACAATCATCTGTATAATCACATACACGATTTTGATCAATACAACCGCCACGTTTACATTGAAATTGGTTAGCAGTACATGCTACTGTTTCATTATTAATTATTGGATAATTACAACCAATCCATTGTATATCATCGATTGCTATATCAGCTAATGCTGTTGCTGTTTTTCTTGCATCAAAACGAACTTGGAATGGACGATATAAACGACCTATTTTAACAATTGCTCTAAGCCATCGATTTTTTTGAGTACCTTCAACTGACCATATACGACTTCGTTCTAAACCTTGAAGAAGTAAAACTTCAAGACGACCAACATTTGTTCCTGACATATGAAAATAAAATGTTAATTCACATGTTGATGATGATTGTTGAAGTAATGGTGAAAGTAAATGTGCTTGTTCATCGAGAGTACCATTATTTGTTTGTACAATCATATAATAACCATTTGCTGATGTTGTTGTATGATCCAAAGATGGTGCCGAACTAACATCTGGTACTGTAAGACCTGCACGTCGTCGTCGCCATTTATATGCACCTGCTGATGGATCAGTATAATTACATTCATTATTTTCAAATGTACAATCATAACCACATCGACGTTCATCATCACCATTAAGACAATCGATATTAAAATCGCATATTTTATTTGTTGGTATACATTGTCTTGTACCAGTTGATGTATCGCATTGAATTGAACAATTACTTGGTATTGGTGGACATGGTCCATTGATAAGTTCAAAATCATCAAGCATTAAACGACCAACACCACTTATACTAATAGCTTCAAATAATAAACGATAGACATTTGATGTTTGATTTAATAATGGATTGAGTACAATTTGATTAAGTTTCCAATCGTTTGGAAAATCATTACCTTCATGTTTAACTAATAAATAACGTGCAGTTACATTAGCAAATGTTTGTCGATTGATTGTTAAAGAACCTTGAGCATTACCAGAACGTTTATAATAATATTGAAAACAATATTGTGCTGTATTATCTAAATCAGATGATATAAGTAGAGCACGATTTGATGATACAGTTGTTGGTGTCATATCAAATGCAAGATATGTTCCAAATTTAGTTCCTATTGTATTATCACCAGCATCACTACGCATTCTTATCCAATCCATTTCACGATCTTTTTCAGAATTTTTATATGTACACATGCCTTGTTCAAAATCACAATTACCAATTGATGGACAAGGTCGTTCTTTAATAAGAACATCATCAATAGCAATATCCTATAGAGAAAAAATTTCATATTTAAATAAAAAATTTTAAATAAACAGAAAAAAAAAGACTTACTCCTCCAAAACTTTTTCCAACAACACCTTCGAATATAATACTATAAGGTTTTGATGGTACAATATTTACTTCCATAACATGCCATTCATCAAAACGATTACCTTGTGAACTAAATATTTTCAATGGATTTAATGAACCACCAACATCACGTTTATAAACATTCAATGCACCAATATCTGCACCATATTGATGGTAATAAAATTGTAAACAATTATATTGTTTTGATGCAGGAAATACTGGACTAATTATACGAGCTACATCACCTGGCTTACGTGGTGAACTTGTTTCAATAAATATATAATAACCTTAATAAAAGAAAAAAATATATTTAAGGAATTTTCATTTCTTTTTATTTTCTATACCTTCTTTTGTAAATGTTGTATGATCATATGGTGGACCAGTACTGGAAGTTAATGTTGAACCTCGATAACGAGTCCAATTAAAATTACCTGATAAATCATTTGTATAACCACATATATCTTGTGATTCAAAATCACAGAATCTTTGTATTGGACATGGACCTAAGAAAAAAAAATAAAATTAAATAATTGATTTTTATATTTTATTTTTTATATTCTATAATTTACCTTCATTTGTTGTGATATCATCAATAGCTATATTATCTGAATCAGCAACTCTATTACCAACAATACCTTCGAGTATAAATTGATAATTGCCTAATGTTTGTCGATAAACAATAGCTTCACGCCAATCAATATCAAGATTTGGACGTATACTATAAACTAATGTTGTATTTTGTTCAAATGATGCTCTTTGTAATAAATTTAATTTTCCTTGTTTTGAACCATAAGCACGATACCAAAATCGAAAACATAAACCACGATTTGTTATTGTTGTCATTGTACTAACTAAACGTGCTGTTTGATTACTCTTTAAATTTGATGTATCAATAAACCAACCATCTTCCGTTTGTAATGTATGATCTATATAAAATAAATATATGAAATAATAAATTATAAAACGTATTTTATGTTTCTTACCATATTGAACAGCATCTGTTTTACCTTGACGTCGTAACCAATTACCAGACGCTGTTGAATCATATGTCCATTTACATGTATCATTTTCAAAATTACATGATAATGGTGTATATCGACCAGGTGTTGTTGGTGGTGTAGTTGTTGTTGTGGTTGTTGGAATTGTACAATGTGAATTTGGTAATACAAGAACATCATCAATAGCCATATCACCAAGATAACTTCCACCATGAGTACCTTTTTGAAGAAAGAAATATAATTTCATTTTATTAGGTTTTTTTTTCTAGTTTTCTTACCTTCGATAATGAAATAAAATTCAGCACCCATATTAACATTAACAGCTCCCATTCGCCATTGATTACCATGATTACCACGTAAACTAGAAGCAAAAAATAAAACAATAGTCCATATAATAATGTTGCAACAGTGACAAAATGAAGAGAAAATATTTCTTCTTACGTCCATTCAAGTTGTGGTGTTGATGATCCAATACGTGTATATACATTTAATGTACCCATATCTGGTCCATAAAGATGATACCAAAATGCCAAACAATGTATACCAGGATCATAATGTTCAGAAATGAGCCATGCTTTTGCAGCTTGAATAAATGTTTGACTTGCTTCAATATATAAATATGTTCCTTCAGGTGTTCCAAATGTATGATCAACACTTGGACCTGTTCCACTACTTGGTGTTGAACCAGAATTACGTAACCAATCAAAATCATCAACAACACCATTTTGTCCATTAATCCAAGTGCAAAGATCTTCTTCAAATGTACAAACTTCTGAACCAGGACATTCACCTTCAGTATTCGATATATCATCAATAGCCGTATCTAATAAATAGAATATAGATTAAAAATATAAGTTTCATCATAATGAGAAAAAAAAAAGAAATTCTCACCTCCAGTTGGTTTTGAACCAACAATACCAATAATAAGAATTCTATATGTACTCTGACCGAGTAATGGTGGTACAGTAAGACGTGCTTGACGCCAAATATTATCTAAAATAGAACACAAAAAATTAAGTTATAAATTTTATTTCTAAAAAAAAACAAAGAATTGAATGGATATCTCTTACCTTGATCATTTGATTTCGTCCATATTGTTTTGGCTCGACCAATTTCAGGTTTTTGTTGTATTTGTAATGTACCTTGTCCAGTTCCATAAAGATGATACCAGAAACGTAGACATCTTGGTTGACTAGCTTTATAAACAGGTGACATAAGATGAGCTTCATCACCCTGAGTACGACCAGTTGGATCAACAAAAAGAAAATGTCCTGTAGCTGATGAATACGTATGATCTAAATTTTCGAAATAGAATTAAATACATAGGTGTTTTTTTTTATAAATAAATAAATAAATACGAACCAACAGTAGGTGTACCACTTGGTGTTGAACCATTACGACCTCGAGACCAATCAAAATCACCATCACTACTTCTTTCCCAACCATCACATAATCCATGTTCAAATGTGCATATACCTGTTGCTGTTGGACAATTGCCATAGTTGAGTTGAATATCATCTAGTGCAATATCACCTTCCCAACTATTTCCAACTAAACAGATCAAAGAATTTACGTTTTTTTTTGTTTTTGATCTGTAATTAATAATTCTATAGACTTACCAATGCCTTCAAATATAAGTTTATATGAAAGTGTACTTCGAAAATCTGCTTCTCCTCTTCTCCATACATTTCCTTGTGGTCCATTTTGTGTAAATATAGTTACATTTGATAGTGATGTTTGTAACATAACATTCAATGTACGAATATCAACACCGAACCTGATTTTTGAAAAAAAAACGATTAAGAATAAAATTTTAAAAAAAATTATTCTTACATATGATAATAGAAAACAAGACAACTTGACGTTGTTGGTGGTACTAGTGGACTTGCAAGCCAAGCTCGATCACCAGGTTTTTGTGTACTAGCTTCAATATAAATATAATAACCTGTGCCTGTTGTATGATCACCAGGTGGACCAGTATCAAGAGATGGTGTTTTTGATGATGTTCGTGTCCAATTAAAATCAGCTAAACCATTTGTTTGCCATGAACAGAAATCATTTTCAAAGTCACAATCAAGTATATGTCGTGATCGATTTGCACTACACTGTGAAAATGATATATCATCAATAGCAACATCATCTGTCCACGCTCCAGAAAAGTCCAAATTAGGTTCAAGTTCAAAAAATAATTTCCATCCAGCTGGATTAGCACCAACATTAACAGTAGCTCGATTCCAACGGTTAGCTGGTGCACTGGATTTTGACCATAGTACAGTGCTATTTCTTGATGAAAACAATTCAAGTTTACCAGTACTATTACCAACAAGCCAATAATAAAATATTATTTGACATGTAGAACTTGATGCAGGTAATGATGGACTACGTAATTCAGCAAGATCAAAGAAATCACCCATATCACCAGCAACATGCATATACCTATGCAACAAAATTATTACTATGAGATTTTCTAAACAAACTTGACTATTCATACCATCCTGTTGGATTATTAAGTGTATGATCGAAACCAGGTGCTTTAGGTGAATTAGTTATAGCTTCACTTGCGCGTACTCGAGACCATGAATAAGCACTCCATGAGACATCTTCCCAACCACAGTCATCTATCATAAAAAAAATAAATGATTTCAAATCTATTATTTATTTTATGTAAACAAACCTTTTTCAAAATCACATGGGCCGCAACGATCCTTAAAAAGAAATGCAATAAGTATGAATTTAAAGAAAAACAAGATTTTTGTTTTTTTTCATACTTCATCAGATGCATCAGGACAATCAACAGTAAAATCGCAAACCTAACATAACATTATTTTGTTATATATATATATAATAAAATCTTATTAAAAAAAAACTGTTTACCCTCTCTTTTTCAAGACACATATCAGTTCCAACACAACGAAATTGTCCAGCTATAGGACATGGTTTTGGTGCTGCTGTTGTTGTTGTAATTGTTGTCATAGGTAATTCTAACGATGCATAAGGTAGACATTCAGGAGTAAATACTGTATCATCAAGACCAATATCACTCAAGAAACCTGTTCCTACTACACCTTCAATTAATACTTGAAATGGTGTTGTATAATCTAATTTTAATTCATGTCGAATCCATGCATTACCTCTTTCACCTAAATTAAATAATAATATAAATAATTGATAAGAGAGAAACATAAGAAAAAAAAAACAATTCTATTGAATTTACCGGAGACACCATAAATCTTTTGTAATGGACCATTTGAATAAAATCGTACATAAATATTTAATTGACCCATATCTTCACCTAACATATGATAATAAAATATAAAACGGCATTGTTTTGTCGTTGGTTGAAATGTTCGACTTATTAAACGTGCTTTATGTCCTGGCATTTGTGGATATGATGCTTCAATAAAAGCATATTGACCTGTTGCATAACCAGTAGTATGATCACGATTAGGCTAAAAATAGAAAAAATTTCAATTGTATTAAATGAAAAGTCTGATACAAAGACATCATACGCCTGTTTCATCGGATGGTGATGGTCCTTGATGTAATGTCCATTTAAATTCAACTGTATTATCATGCGTCCAATCACAGAATGATATATCAAATGTACATGTTTGATATGATGCACACACACGACTTGATTCATCGGAATCATCACCACAATCATCTGTTAAATCACAAAGACGAGATGTTGTTATACATGAACCACGTGCGCATAGATATCGATCTGCTGCTTGACATTGAGTAGGTTTAACGATTGGTGGTAAATGACAACGAAGTATTTTTATGTCATCAATAGCAACTGCTCCCCATATTATTGAACGTTGTGATTCAAATGATATTTGAAATGGTACATCAACACGACCAATTTCAACAGTTGCTTTTGTCCAATTAGTCATTGTTTGATAATGAAATCGTTGTAATGTTGCTCGTTCAATTTGATTACCAGTTAATAACATAACATTCAATTGATTTGATGAAAGACCAGTTAAATAAACCCAAAATTCAATAAGACATGTTGAACTTGCTTCACGAAGTACAGGTGTTATTAAACGTGCTGGTGAATTTGATAGAGTTCCATTAGCTGATGATAAATACATATAACTACCAGTAGACCTATATGTTGTATGATCGACTGTTGGTCTTGGATTTGTTCCAGTTGTCGTTCCATTTGAACCACGTTTCCACATAAGTGAACCTTTACTAACATCAGTCCAACCACATAGAGAATTAGTTGTTCCTTCAAATGTACAATTACCACATGAACGTTCATCATCACCACCTTTACAATCAACAATGAAGTCGCACACCTTAAAAAAAAAAAGAAATTATATAATTTTACATCAATCTCTTTCACTTGTTTTCTTTTTCTCTGAAATAAAACTTACTTTTGATTTTGAAATAAGTGTTCCATCAAGACATTGATACATATTTTGTGGTGGTGTTGTTGATAGACAATTTCCTGATCGTGTAGTTAAATCATCAATAGCCAAATCTAAAATAATACATTGATATAAATTAAAAGAAAGCATTCTTTATTTTGTCTAATACATACCACCAGTCTTTGATCCAACAACAGCTTCATAAACAATGGTGAATCTGTTCGTTCCATAAACTGTCATATTTGGTCGTACAGTTATTTCTTTTAATACCCAGAATGATCCATGAATTTGATCATTTGACCAAATTAAACTATAAGTATCTGAACGTGGATCACGTATGTAAACATTTAATTGAGCATCAACAGTGTTATTCATATAATACCAAAATGATATACATCGTATATCAACTAACATAAGTTCAGATTCAATTCGAGCTTTTCTACCTTTTGTAGTTTGTCCACGATCCATCCATAAATAAAATCCTAAACACAAAAAAAAAGAAATTTATGATTAATATTATATAAAATATCGATTTTCTGAGTTCAAACCTCCTCGACTATTTGTTGTATGATCGAATTGTGGTGCACTAAATAATTCCACATTATAAGATGTTCGTTTCCAATCAAAATCAGTTTTAAGATTTTGAAAACCACATAAACCTGTTTCAAAATCACATGATGCTAATTGTTCACATACACCAGATTTTATTTCAACATTATCAATAGCTATCGAATCTAATGTATTATTTGTATTATTTAAAACACCTTCAAATACTACTTGATAAGGTGAACCACTTTTTACTGTTGTTTGTGCTAATTTCCATTGATTACCTTGTGTACCACGAACAGTATAAAGTATATTTGGATTTATTGCACCAAATGCATAAGTACGAATATTTAATGTTGCTGCATTTTCTAATAACATATACCATCGTATGCATGAACCACTTGTATCAGGATAAGTTGATGTTACAAGACGACCATTTACTGATTTTGATGGATTATCTGATTTTAATAACATAAAATGTCCATGTGGTGAATTATAAGTAACATCAACAGATGGTAATGATGAATCACTTCCAGCTTGAAAACGTTTCCAATCAATTGTATTTGTTGGATCATTAACATAACTACATAGATCACTACTTTCGAAATCACAAACACCTGAAAAGAAGAAACAAACATTTTTACATAAAATATACAAAACAAAAAAATTAGATATGAAATTTACTTGATGATGGACAAGGTCCTTGATTAATAGCAAGATCATCAACACTTATATCACCTTGAATACTTTTACCAACAATACCTTCTACAACTAATTGATATGGTTGACCAATTGTTTGTTCAATATTACCACGTAATGATATACGACCAAATAACCATTGATTACCCTAAAAACATACATGTATAAATCTATAAAAATTAAATCTTTTTTATTACTTGATTGCCTTCTTTTTGCCATAAAGCTTTACCAAGAACTCCGTCTAAAATAAAATAAAAACAAATAAATAAATTAAATTTGTCAAAATTGAATTAAATTTACTAATTCGTGCATAAATATTTAATCGATAAACATCCGATCCATACATATGATAATAAAATCGGAAACATTGTTCATCATTTGTAGCAATCAAATTAGGACCAATTAAACGAGCTGTATCATTAAATTTTGCTGGTGAACTTGTTTCAATATAAATATAATAACCAAATCTTGATCCTGTTGTATGATCGCCATCAGGTCCTGTATTAGCAGTCGATGTTGAACCTTTTCTAATAGTCCATTTAAACTTTGTTGTATCATCGTGTGTCCAATTACATGTACAATTACATTCAAAATCACAATCATATAGTGTTGGTGCTAAGTTAAATTAAAAACAAAAACAAAACATGATCAGTTTTTGTTCAATATATTTATACATACGATAGGTTGTTGGTGTAGTAGGTCCACTTGGTGTTGTTGTTATTTCTGTTGTTGCACATGTGACAGTAGGTGACCAAACAATATCATCAATAGATATATCACCTTAAGCAAAAAAGCAGTTAGCACAATCTATGTGGGACTAAAGTGTGAAACACGATCTAGGTACTGACGCTAATTACAGAGAGACTGTTTCATTCTAACAATTTAGGAGCAAATTGGATCAGTATTGGAAAGAAGAACTGATTGATACATTATAACAAAAAATTATTGATATACAATCTGTGATGCTTTCTGACTAACATCTGTCACCGTTTGCGGAAGAATCACATTTTTATCCTTATATGTCAAAAATTCTTTTTTTAGATCATATTTCCCAAACATAAGAAAAATGGTTTATAAAGAAAATTTTGTTATACCTTGATAACTTTTTCCAACAACACCTTCAACAATAATTCGTACCCATTCTTGATTTTGTAAAGTTACACCAATATCAACATTTAATTTTTTCCATGCATCACCTTGTTCTCCATTTATTCGATAAACTTCAGTCATTGGTTGTGTTTTAATACTTGTATAAATAACTAATGAACCAATATCTGAACCAAACATATGATACCATAATGAAAAGCAACCTTGCCCTACTATTAAATGTTCACTCATTATTCGAGCTGTATCATTTTGTTTAGCTGGATATGATGCATCAATATAAATATAATGTCCTTGTGCTGAATTTGTTGTATGATCTAAAAAAATAGAAAAAACAATTAAATTAAAAAAAAGAACTATGTATTTATAATAATATTCTTACCAACAGTTGGTCCAGTGCCATATGAGTCTGTTGCACCTGATTGAAGTAACCAATCAAAAGCATCATCTTTTACTTGTGTCCAACTACAAATACCAACACTTTCAAAATCACAATTTATTGGTGCTGGACAAGAACCAAGAGTGAGTATAACATCATCAATACCAATATTAACATTTTGAGAAGATTTTAATGCTTGAAATAATGTAACAAATGAACTACCACTACCACTAATTGAAACTTGTTCATAACGCCATGCATTTTCATAGATATCATTTGACCAAAGATTAGTTTCTATTTGTGAACCACCAATTTGTTTAGCAACATTTAGTTTACCAGTTGTTCCATCAGGACCATTAATAAAATACCAAAATTTCAAACATTCATCACCAACATTTGTATATTGTCGACTTCGAAGTCTATTCAACAAAGGACACAAACAATATACAATTTAAATAAATCTTTTAAAATCTTACTTAGCATTATCTTGAGTGGCCATAGCTAAATAGCCAAGTGATGTTGATGATGTATGATCTGCATTAACAAAGTACGATATATTAGTTGCTTGTTGTCGTATCCAACTACCAGCTGGATCAGCTTGAAAATCACATAAATCAAGTTCAAAATTACAAGTTCGAGTAGCTGGACATGCTGATTGACTTAGAAATATATCATCAAGTGCAATATCACCAAGATAACCTTTTCCAACTACACCTTCAAATGCAACACGCCAACCATACATAACAGTTGAATTAAGATTATATAATGTTTGTGTTGCACGATGCCATTGATTACCTTGTGTACCAGATTTTGTCCATACAAGTGTTGATGATATATTATATAGATTATTTGATACACTTTGAACAAATGTATTTAATGTACCAATATTAGCACCATACATATGATACCTATATATAGAGAGAGATTTTTATTAATTTGAATTAAATCATAATTTTAGATTTTACCAGAATGTTAAACAACGAGGAGTAGAAGATGGATTTTGAAATGCTGAGATCATTCGAGCACGATCACCTGATTCACTATTAAAATAAAAACATTTTTATGGTTAAAAATAAATAAAAGAAGAATATACATGTATATCTAAATCTGTCAGTACAATCGTTGTGGGACTACAATGTGATAGACAGTGTAGCTGCTGATGCTAATCACAGAGAGATTATTTTATTCTTTAAATTTTTTGACACATTTTTTTTATCCTCTTTTTATTTAAGAATGCAAAAATGCAATACGTAAGGACTTCGCGTATTAGAATCAGATACCCTTGATATATCGACTTTGATCTCATATATCAGTAATCTCTGTCATGGTTTATAACGGAAAGAGTGAGGATTGTTAACGAATTTATCACAGGCTGTGATAAATTGCAAGGTGCCCGTTGGAGTTCAAATTTCTATTTCTATACTTCAACAATACTTGTAGATCATGTTTTACAAATCACTGAGGATCATTTACCTTGGATAAGATGCTTCAATAAATACGTAAAAACCTGAACCAGTTGTATGATCTATAAGATAATTAATGAGTATAAGAAAATAAAAGATTTTTTTTTAAATACCAAAGCCTGGTCCTGTATTTGATGATTCTGTTGCTTTATTTGTACGTTCCCATTTAAAATCAGCAGTATCATCATGGAAAAAGTTACACCAACCTTGTTCAAATGTACAGTCAACTGGTAAACTAATGATAAACAAAACAAAAAAAGTATGATATTATTTTAAAATAAAAATAAAAAACTTTTTTACCCAAGTTCAGGTGGAATTGCAGCTTGACAATTATAAAATTCTATATCATCCATCGCTATACCTTTGTCTTGCCCTGGTGATCCATCAATTTCTAAAATAGATATATTTTAAAATTGATTTCTTTTTCAATAAAAGTCTCTCTATGTATATATATATACCAATAGCAAATCGTTCTTTTTGATATCCAATATTAATAACGCCTCGTTTCCATTGCGGTCCAGTTGACTCATCAACACTATCAATATACGTGAATCCAGTATAATTGCTACTTTCTTGTCGAATATAGACCGAAATACTGCTGTAATCCATACTATCATCAGTATCCATATAGTACCAAAATCTCAACTGACATTCAATACCAGCTGGTCCTACAGGTGGTGAACGTAATGATCCAAAACCATACCAATCATCAGCTGGTACAGCAACATAAAATCCTTTGCCTGTTGTATGATCACTTGATGGTCCCATATTCATTGGTCCAGTTACTAACTGCCATTCAAGACTTCCATACGAATAATCTTTCCAACCACATAATGTTCCATTATTATTATCAAATGAACATGTACCACATTCAGCTTCATCACTACCTCCTGGTGTTGGACAATCAATTCTAAAATCACATACTTTTGCCTTATCAATACATTGGCCATTTTCAATACACATAAATTGATTATTAGCTACACATGGATTTGGTGTTGTTGTAATTGGATTCGGTGTTGTAACAGTAACTAAATTAACATTTGCTAAAATACAATCTGTTGTGAATGATGTATCATCAACAGCAATATCTCCAGCATAATCATCACCAACAATAGCTTCGAGTACAACTTGAAAAGGTTCACTAATATATAATGCAAGATCAGCTCGAGTCCAATAATCACCAACGTTATAATCTTTTGACCAGATTTTTTTCATTTGTCCACCATATGTTGTTCGAGTATATACATTAAGTGCACCAATATCCTATTTAGAAAAAAAAAAAGATAAACAAGAATCGTATTTCAATGTCATCTAAAAATCATTATGAACACTTACTTCACCAAACATGTGCCAATAGAATCGAAATCTACATGATAATCCTGTACTATTCATAACAGGTGATGCAATACGAGCTCGATCGTTTTGCTTAGCTGGATAAGATGCTTCAAGATAAATATAATGACCACTCGGTAAACCAAGTGTATGATCACGTTTAGGTCCCGTATTAAATGAAGATGTTTCACCTTGTCCAAGTTGCCAATCAAGATCATTATCTTCATCATGTGACCAACCACACATACCTGTTGGTTCTTCAAAACTACACATAACATTGTTATTACAATTAAGTTCATCGGAATTATCACCACAATCGTCCCTATAAAAAATAAAAATTCATATTTCTTATTTTTCTTCATAAAATAGCTTACGTAAAATCACAAAGACGATCTTTTGATATACAAGCACCACGTTGACATCGAAATTGATCAACTGTACAATTAGGTCGTATAGGTGGAAATTGACAACCAACTAAACGTACATCATCAATGGCAATTGATCCATCACCCCAGCTTTTTTCTGCCATAAATTTTATACGCCATGGTCGTGTAATACGTCCCAATGTTATTATAACACGTACCCATTGATCACTATGTGAATCATCTTCTTCCCAAACATCAACTGAATCATCACCTTCAATTAAATATACTCGAAGATATTGATGATTTATCATATGATGCCAAAATTCTAATTCACATGTTGCTGAACTTGGTTGAAGAGTTTGTTGTAATTCAAATACAGCTTCATCCCAAATAAGACCATCACTTGTTCGTACATACATATAATAACCTTGACTTGTATGTACTGTATCTAAATAAGAATAATTATTATTATTAATAATAAGCAAAGAAAAATCGAAACTTACGATCAACAACTGGTCCATAATGTGATGGTGCAACATTCATACCTTGACCACGCATCCAAGCAAAAGGACCAATACTAATATCTAACCATCGACATGTATCTTTTTCAAATGTACAATCAGCACAAGCTTGTTCATCACGACCATTTGCACAATCAGTTATGAAATTACTAAATTAAGATATGGATAACAAACCAATCATCATATTAATTTAAGAAAAGAAAAAAAAAAATTTCTTACCAAACTGATGATTGTGGGATTGTTGTTCCATCACCACAATCAAATGGTGATAATGGTGATGGTGTTGTATCAATTTGTGAACATGGTGTTGCATGAATATGTAAATCATCTAATGCAATTGAACCAGAAATAGCAGATGAATTGAATCTTCCTTCGAAATAGATCTAAAATAAAATATTGTTTTTTAAGATAAAATTACAAATGTTGTGTTGTTTTCTCTTTACTTCAAAGTCACTTGGTGAAACAGGGATATCGACATCTACTTGTAACCATTTATTGCCTTGATTATTATTAACTGACCATAATAATGAAGAGTTTTGACCAGCGGGTCGTGCACGAGAATAAAGATTTAATGATGATGAATTCGTTATAAAATAACTGAATGTTATACATGCACCACCTTGATATTGATAAGCTAAAAGAATTTCTGAGTAGAGATATGATGTTTGATTAGTACGATTTGAACGAAAATCTGATGCTGCCCAAAGAAAATGTCCATAAACATTATTGACTGTTGTATCAGTCATTGGATAATTTGTACCATTATAAAGTAAACTTATTTGTTTTGATGATAAACGATACCAATCAAAATCATTTATTCCATCCGATGGTGTCCATGCACATAAATCTTGTTCAAATGTACATGAACCATGTGCATTACATGGTCCTGGTGAAATAGAAACATCATCAATTGAAATATCACCAAGATAACTTTGACCTACAACACCTTCGAAAATAACCTAAACAAATAAGATATTCATCAAATTATTAATTGGCAAATTGTTTTTTTTTGTCTATTTACTTGAAATTTTCCTGTTGTTCTTATTGTTGCACGAGCTGGTCGCCAAAGATTACCTTGATCACCACCAAGTGCCCATAATGGCGAACCTTCAATAACTGAACCAGCTTTAAGATAAACATTAAGTGCACCAGTATCTTGACCCCACATATGATAGAAAAATTGTAAACATGATCCACCAGGTGCAACACTATATTCAGGTGTAATCAGACGAGCTTTGTCACCAGGTTTTCGTGGTAAACTTGTTTCAATGAACATATAATAACCGACACTAGTTCCATATGTATGATCTAAATAAAATAATATAAAATCAAAAGTAAGAGAAGACATTTCATTTCTTTTTTATAACAACACATACCATTTGTAGCACCTGTTGATGATGTTGTAGTAGCACCTTTATGTCGTGTCCATGTAAACTCTACTGTAGCATCATTTTGATAATCACATATTGTTGAATCTTCAAAATCACAAATACTTGGTGATGGACATGCACCATTAAGTAATTTCAAATCATCAATAGCAACATAACCAGTTGTACGAGGTACAACAACAGCTATGAAAAAAGAAAAGATTTCATTAACAAACAAATATATTTCGAATAAAAGAATCTGTTTTACCTGAAATAGTTAAATGTACTGAACCACGTATAGTGCCTAGGTTAACTGAAGTCTGTGTCCATTGATCACGTGCTGTTGTTCCAGGTCGGCGCCAAGCAACAACAGCTGTTGATGTTCCATTTTGTATATATACATTGAGTGTTGTATCACTTGAAACGAACGCTTGATACCAGAAATCAAGACAAAGTGTTAGACCTCTCGGTAATGAACGAAAACCAATTGTAGAGTAGTAAACTGCACCTCCGGTTGGTTCAATTGGTACATATGCATATTTTCCAAATACATTTTGTGCTGTATGATCTGTTAATGGTGCTTTACCATAAACAGCTGTTTGACCTGATGATACTATCCATGGTTTATCACTTGTTTCGAGTTGCCAATCACAAAATGTGCCATCTGAAAAATCACATTCATAAGCGGCTTCTTGTGGTGTTACAGGTGCTTGAGTTGTTGAAGCAAAATAAGCACAAGTACCACCTTGACCTAACGTTATATCATCAAGAGCTATATCCGATTCGAAACCATCACCCTTGAAATAAAATTATAAATTATTAAGAATATATATATATATATCTTATGAAAAGAAAGGAACATTTTAATATACATACCACAACACCTTCGAAAATGAAATCATAATGATCATTTGTTGGTGGTAAATCAATTTTTGCATTTATCCATCGATCACCTTGATTACCCTAAATAAAAGAACATGATTTATTTATTTAATCATGTATTCAAGTGTTCTTTAAGATCATTACCTCCATAAACCATAATGATGTTGGCTTTTTATCTAAGATTCGATGATAAACTGACATGTTTCCAGTTGAATTTCCTCTCATATGATACCAAAAATCTAGACAAGCACCTTTGGGTGATTCCATAACTTCACTGACAAGCCATGCTTTATCACCATGATATTGTGGATAAGATGATTCAATATAAGCATAATAACCAGCACTTGTTCCTGTTGTATGATCAACAGATGGTCTAAAGATCAATATATATATTTAGATAATATCATTCGTTGGCGAAGTGACTTTGCAAACTTAAAACATGTGCATCTCGAAATAAAACATTTTTCTAGAGGTAATATTCATATGTTACATGTAAGTAAAGTTACTATAGATACCCTGCAAAAATTAGTAGTAGAAACCATTGTTCATATAAGTTATTATAAAAACAAATAGCGCTAGTGATGTGATGGAGTGCCAATATAGAGACAAAACAGTGTTCTTATAACCAAATGAGAATTTACAAAAAACAATTCGAAAAAGTATAAACTTTTCTTCAAAATCTTCAAACACTGGTTAGACAAAAAACTTTTGATAGGGTCTCAAGACAATTGGTTTTCAAGAGGTAGTTCTCTGGAGTTCGGTCTTTTTGCCAGAAATGCCTATATATATATTTGTTAAATCTAAAATAATAAAACTTTGTTTTTTGTTTTATTTACCCTGTATCCCATGAAATCGTTTCACCTTGATTAAGTGCCCAATCGAAATCATCTTCATCTTTACTATTATAAAATCCACATAAACTTCCATCGTCAAAATTACAGCTTCCTTCTTCTTCGCATGGACCATTTATTGTTGAAATATCATCGATAGCAATATCACCCTAAATTAAATAGAATTGATTCATGAAAAAAATAATTCGTAAATTCATTTATTTCGACTTACTTGGAAGCTTGAGCCAACAACACCTTCAAATGCTATTTGATAAGGATCATTACTACGTACAGTTACATGTCCAAAACGCCATCGATTACCAAGATTACCACTACAAAAAAAATAAAATTGTATATTTAAGTTTAACAGTTTTACTATTAATACCTCTTTGTCCACAATAATCGTTGTGTACCAGCAATGAGAACATTTAATATACCAATGGATGGCCCATACATATGATAGTAAAATTTTAAACATATTGATGATGATGGAGAATACATTGGACTAATTATTCGAGCCTTTTGTCCAGCAACTTGAGGAAAAGATGTTTCAATATAAAGATAATAACCACGATCAGTTCCTGTAGTATGATCTATAACAATCAATAAAATGATATTATCATGTAAGATTTTTTTTTTCGAAATATTTACCTGTTGTTGGTCCAGTGTCAGGAGAGTCTGTTGCTTTTCGTGCTCGTGTCCAATAGAAATTACCTGTTGTATCATTAGTCCATCCACAAAACGATGATTCAAAATCACAAAAATCTGGTGGTGGACATTCACCATCCGTTAAATATATTTCATCAAGAGCAATCTAAAATGTTCATAGAAATAAATATAAAATTAAATGAAAAATCTTTTACATACATCTCCTTGGTAATCCCCTCCAACAAAACCATCAATTTTCATAGCAAAATCATATGACATATCACCTAAATTAATTTGTCCTTGACGCCATGCTTTTGCTTGTGTTTCATTACGTTGCCAAAGTAAATTTTGTTTTTGACCATTAGGTGTATTTTGAATAGTTGATATTTGTAATGAACCAATATGTTCACCCCACCTATTAGGAAAAAACAAATATACATATATATATATATATATATCGTTTAAAAGTCTTTTTAATATTATTACATATGATAATAAAATTGAAAACACATTGTTCGTTGTGGTTTTGTTATTACAGGTGAAATAAGACCAGCACGATCACCTTCTTTTTGTGGATAACTTGCTTCAATATAAATATAATAAGGTGAATTATCCGCACCTAATAAATTGAAAAAGAAAAGAACAAAGCAAAGTTTAATTTTCAAAATTTTTTATCATTCATACCAGAAGTTGGTCCAGTACCAATAGAGCTTGTACTTTCTGTATGTCTTGTCCAATTAAAATTTCCTGTTGGATCAAATTTCCATTGACAAAAATCTTGTTCAAATCTACAAGTTATCAATTGTGCAGATATTTGAACTGGATCAGCATCGAATGGTTGTAATGTACATGACTCAGTTGGTAAAACTCCAATATCATCAAGAGCAATATCACCTTCAAAAGATTTTCCACGAACACCTTCAATAATAATTTGATATTGTCCATTTGGTTGAATAGGTGCAAATCCATGTTTCCATTCTTTTCCTTGTTGCCCAGCTAATGCCCAAACTAATGATTCTGTAGTAAAATTTGCCGATACAATTGATCGTATATAAATCATCAAACGACCAATGTCAAGTCCATTCCTAAATGAGAAATATATAATAAGTTGAATAATTGTAATCATATATTAACAGCAAAACTTACATGCTATACCAAAATGAAAAACATCTTGGACGATTATCAAAATAAATTTCTGATTCTAATCGAGCTTTCCATTCAGGTTGAGCTGGTAAAGATGTTTCAATATATATATAATAACTATTACCCGTAGCTAGAATTAAATGTTAATATTTTCTTTTTTTTTTTTCTCTGAATAAATTTATTAAAATAATTCAACATACTATGATCTCCAACGGGTCCAGTAACATATGATGGTGTTTGTCCTTTATGAAGAGTCCAATCGAATTGATTATTTGCTGCATTAGTCCATGAACATAATGTATTATCATCAAATGTACATTCATTTGCACGAGAACTACATTCACCTTGTTTATACATATAATCATCAAGTGCAATAAAACCTACACATAAAACGAAAAAAAAAAATTAATTCTTTTAATTAAATATTAATTCAATATAACCTTGTCGTGAATAACCAGATATTATTTCAAAAACAATTCGAACATCATTTATTGTTGTCAATGTTATTTCACCTTTATTCCATATATAACCATGATCATAATTTCGTGTAAATAAAATTCGTTTAGTACCAGTATTAGTTTCTGTAAATATATTGAATGTATTATTTGAACCAACAAGTACATAATAAAATTCAATACAATATGATTGATTTTTTGTTGCTGGATAGATTGGGGAATAGAGACGTCCATTTAGATTTTCACCTTGATTTTCAAGATCAATATAAATATATGAACCACGATTTGTACCAGTGGTATGATCATATGGAATTGGTGTTGTACGTAAATGAGTTTCACCACCATAATATGTTTGCCATTGTAATGATGATGTAGTAGTATTTTGTGTAAAGCCACATTGAGAAAAATCAATAAATGTACATACTTCACCAATGGAAGCACTTTCTTTACATGGACCAGGAGTAAATATAACATCATCGATAGATACATCACCAATAGAATTTGCACTAGCGATAGCTATTTAAAAAAGAAAAAAATAAATAAATGAATAGAACTAAATATATGGTTTTGGATTACCTTCAAAAACAACATTAGCATTATTTTTAATTATTTCCATTCGTCCAAAACGCCATACATCACCTTGTGTACCTGTTCGTGTCCACAGTGGTATACCGAGATTATCGCCGGCAGCCATATAAAGATTGAACGTACCACCATGTCCAATTAGATGATAATAGAATGTCATGCATTGTGCATTGTTAAGAATAGGACTCTTGAGACGCGCATAATCATTTGCTTGATGTTTACTTAAATCAGCTTGCATGAAATATCCTTTATTAGTATTTGTTGTATGATCGATTTCTAAATAACAATTAAAAAGATGATGCTTTTACTCAAGATATTAGAAATAAAAGCATACGTGGTGCAACTACAGTCGAAGCTTGTACACGTGTCCAATCAAATCGATTATTTGCCATATTTTGCCAACCATTACATATTCCATTTTCAAATGTACAATCATTTGGTCCTGGTGGATTTGTTATACTTGGTTTAGTAGATGTTGTTGTAGGTGTAAGAGTTAATGGATCAGCATCTGATGGTGTTAAAACACATGGATTTTCGAAAATACGAATATCATCAATAGCTGCATCTCCTCGAATTGATGTGCCTAAAAAAAGAAATAAAAACGTTGATAGCTAGAATTGCAAAAACAAACAAACAAAATAATTTCTTTCTTACCAATAACTCCTTCAATCTGTAATCGATAATATGAACTTGGAGAAATTGTAACTTGACCATTTAACCATCGATCACCTTTATCTCCTTTTTGTGCCCTAAAATAAATGATTGATAAGTAAATAGATATTAAAATAAATTTCGTTTAGAAATATTTTCATACCAAATCCATAATGGATTTGTAGATTTAAAACCATTAACATAAATATTCAAGCCACCAATATTTCCATACATATGATACCAAAATGATAAACAATTACCAGCTGCTGATGTTGGCATAAGTATAGTTGATTCAAGTATAGCACGGTCATTCGTCTCTCTTGGAAATGATGCTTCAATAAAAGCATAATAACCAAATATATCATTATATGTATGATCAACTGTTGGTCCAGTAAATGCTGAATCTGTTTCACCATGTGCAACAAGCCAATCAAAATCATCTAATGGTGAACGTATATTATGCCATGTACAAAAATCCGCTGATTCAAATGTACATGAACCTAATGTTGGACAATTTCCATTTCGTATAGTTACATCATCAATAGCTAAATCGCCATAAAATCCAACACCATATTCACTTTCAAATGCAATAGCCCATGGTTCATTAGTATTTGTTATTGTCATTTCAGCTGCATTCCATGTATCATTAAAATTATAATTTATTTTCCACATTGGATATAATTCATCTGTTGATAATAGACGTTTATAAACTGTTAATGAACCAATATCAGCACCATAACTATGATACCAAAATGAAAGACATTGTCCATTTGTATTATTCATCCATGGAGATACTAATCGAGCTTTTTCACCTTGACGATTTGAATTAGCACTTGAAACATACATATAATAACCTATTTAAAAACGAATTACAATTAAAAAATAGAAAACGAAAATTTTCAAATAATTTATTCTTACCATTACTAGTCATTGTACTATGATCAATACTTGGTCCTGTTTGTGAAGTAGGTGTTGCTCCTAGAAAATAACATTTATTTTTCTGATATTAAAAAAAATCACTAAGTAACAAACCTTTATGTCTTTTCCATTGATGTTTTTCTGTTGGATCATTTTGAAAACCACATAAACCTTCATCTTCAAAATCACATTCATATGGTAAATCACTTGGACAATTACCATCAAATAATTGAAGATTATCTAAAGCAATATCACCTTGAAAACTTGAACCAGCAACACCTTGAAGAATAATCTAATTAAACAGAACATTTTTCAATGTGACTTTTTTTTTATAAAACAAAAAAAAATGTTTTACATACACTATACATATCTGTGATATCTTTTAAGTTAACTTTTCCTAAACGCCAAATATTTCCTTGAGGTCCTTCACGAGACCAAACAGTTGTTTCAACATTTGATGAATCAACAATTAATACATCTAAACGATTGATATCAGGTCCATACATATGATACCAAAATTCAAAACATTTTGTTGTTGAACCAGCAATTGATGGTGATTGTAAACGTGCTGTATCATTAAGTTTAATAGGAGAAGATGTTTCAAGATAAATATACCAGCCTTGATCTAAAAACAAAAAAAAAAATGAATAGATAAATTTGAAAAAGTATTTTATTTTTTGTAAAATATACTTGTTTGTGTTGTTACATCAAATGCAGGACCAGTTTCAGCTGTAGTTGTACTACCTTGATTTCGAGTCCAATTAAGAGCACCATCAGTAAGATGAGTCCATGAACAAAAATCGACTTCAAATGTACAATCATAGATACTTGGAACTATAAAAGATTTAAAAAAAAACCATCAATTTCATTAAGATATTCATTTTAAAATTTCATTAAATAAACAAACTTTGAAATGATGTTGTTGGTCGAGTTACTGTTGCTGGTGTTGTTAAAATATTAGCAGTTGCCTCTGTTGGAGTTGTTCCACAATAACCATCACGAATATCAATATCATCAATAGCATAATAGCCTTGCATTTGTGAAATGACAGTTCCTTCGATTACGATCTATACAGAGAAAAATCAAATTATTAAAATTTTTCATATGGAAAAATCAAAATAAAATTATTTTACATTGTGATCTTCCTCTGCATAATAGGCAACCGATGCAAAATTCCATGATTCACCTTTGTCTAGATTACCTAATGACCATATCATGTATGTATTTTGTGAAGTTGTAATATTGACATCAACACGACCTAATTGATTACCACGTATGACATACCAGAATGTTATACACCGACCAGCACGTGAAGTTGATGAAAATGTTTCACTTTGAATAACAGCAACGACGGTTTGTTGATTGGTGAATGATGAACTTAAGAAAAGATATTGACCTTGGTCATTTCCTATGAAATATAGACGTCACAGATACAGTTTTCTTTTTCTGATTGTCAAAAAAAAAAAAAATTTCAAACCTAAGGTGTGATCATTTTGAGGTCCATTATAAGGTGGTTTTGCTGAACCTGAGCCAATCATCCAACTAGCATTTCCAAGAAGAAATATACTTCTCCATGTACACATGCTACAAAAAGGCAATAAATCATACAAGAGAAATAAATCTTCATTTAATATAATTACCCATTTTCAAAATCACAATCGCCTGGTTCAAGACAAATTCGATCACGAATGAAAACATCATCAATAGCAATAACTGGTGAATTGGCACCTGATTTATAAATTGTACTTTCAAAAATAACTTGATATGATGGTGTACTAAGACCATGTGGAATGCGTTGTTGTGTAATTCGCCATTGGCGTTCCTTAAAAATTCAAGATTTTTTTTTGTTCTAGATCTTTCATATATATATAACTTACTGGAAGAGTATTTTTTGACCAAATTAAATAACCAGATGTATTTGTTGACTGTGTACTTGTTCGTACATATAATTTTAAATTTGATGCTGTACTAAGTATTTCACCATCTGTATAATACCAAAATTCAACACATTGTTCTCCATTAGGAACCATAACTGGTGAAACAAGACGTGCTCGTTGATTAGTTATATCTGATGATGATTTAGAAATATCAACAAGCATATATGCACCATTACTTGTTCCATCTGTATGATCAATCGATGGTTTAAAACCACTTGCTAATGGATCATCACCAGTTGTACGTGTCCAATTATATTGTGTTATAGCATCATTTACAAAACTACATTGAGATGGATCTTCGAATGTACATAAACGATCTTCAATTCGACATGATTCATAGACAGCAATATCATCAAGACCAATATCACCAAGGGTATATCTATTTTATGAAAAATAAATTTCAATGAACGAAATAAAGAAATTTCCTAAAGGAAAACTTACTGTCCAACAATGCCTTCGAATACAATTTGAAATTTAGTATTTGCTGGTGGAAATATTGCATATTGTCCTTTCAACCATTGATTACCTAAGAAAACACAAAAAAATAAAATAAAATAAAATAAATTTATTTTATATTAGAAGAAAAACTAACCTTGATTTCTTGCTCGTGTCCAAACTGGTTTACCCAATTGACCATTCATTTTAATATAAACATTCAATGTATCAACATCCATACCATACATATGATACCAGAATTGTAAACATTTTTGTCCTTGAATTTCTTCTGATATAATACGACAACGTTGATTATATTTTTGTGGATAACTAGCTTCCATATAAATATACCAACCATCAGGTGTTCCATATGTATGATCTAAAAAGAAAACATTCAAATAAAACAATAAATTTTTTTAAACTATGTCTACAAACCAGCAAGAGGTCCGGTATTAGGTGATGGTGTTTGACCTTGTTTTAATGCCCATCGAAAATCTGCTGTTACATCATGTGACCATGTTTGACAAAGAACACCTTGTTCAAAATTACAATCCCATGGTGATTGTGGTGCCAATGTTGTTCGACGTGTACTTGTTGTTAATAGTGTTGATGGAAGTGTTGTTCCAATTGTTGGTACTGCATCAATCATTGGTCGAATTGAACAATTACTTGTTGTAAATGTAAAATCATCAATTGCGATATTTCCCTAAATTAAAAGCAAAATTTCAAATTCAAAAACAAAATGAAGGCATATTTTGACTCTTACCAAATCATCTTTTCCGGCAATAGCTTCAACAACAATTTGATGTGGAGCCATTGAAACATATGAGACTTGTCCTTCATACCATTGATCACCACGATTACCTGACAATGACCATATACGTGTATATGAACCATCAA